AACAAATCAGGAGAATCCAAAATTGGCCGAGATAGAGGTACTGTGAACCTTGTCATGTACCTGTTTATAGGTGGCAAAGTCGTGACCGCTGTAGTTGCTGCAAGTTGAATTGTCAATGCAGGGCAAACCGCGCCCAGTATTCAATCGTGTTGGTGGCCCGCTGGAACTCGCCCAATGCTGGCATTGACTCTGTTGAATGAGCTTGAGCGGACCACCAACTTCTCTACAGCATCTCTGACTCGTTGCGCCAACGAGTTTGGATCCAGGATTCTGCGTTTGCAGCTGCACGTTTTGATTCAGCGCACGTTTTCGAGCAATAAAGTGTTCTCCACCGAAACCTGGCTGGACAACCTGGGCCCGGTGGTCTCCGGATGCCTTCGGACCAACGGAGATGGATGTTCAGCCACACCCTTTGCCCTTTGCTACACAGCTTGGCTTTCCAAAAAGATCCAAAGCAAGTCGCTCCAACATCAGGAATGTCAAACATAGGAGCATTGTGAAGAATGGTGGTGACAACTTGCAACCTACGTGCATCACATGGCAAGGTCATGGCTGCCCTGTTTGCTCGCGCACAGTGACTTATCAATTGCAGGGCAAACCGCGCCCGGTGTTGGATATATACAATATTGTTGGTGGCCCACAACTAACTCGCTCAGTAGTATGCTGCATGGATACTGTCAAAAAATGAGCCCATGGGTAATAGAGCTGACAGGTATCAATCCCAATTCTGACATTCGAGACATTTGCAGTCAACATGCCGTTCATGAGGATAGGACCGGAGGATCCCTTCTGGACTGGTTTTGTAATGAGAAACATGAGGATTCCCACTTGTTCGCATTTTAAAACCATTTTCTGGTATGTCAAGCTCGTAAACATATGTCTGACTTGATGACTTGTCATATGCTAGCTCGGACCTTGTTGTGTTGCTAAGTTAAGCTGGCACACTATGCGGCCCTTGAGATTGGTGCAGGAAGGGGTCGCCTCAAAAGGCTCAAGTAGCTTCGGGCTCACACATCAACCAAACCGCTGGATGAGCAGCCAATTGCAGCGATCATGTCAACGGGGGCCACCAACTTCTGTACAGCCCCTCTCATGTGTTGCGCAAGCGTCTTTTGATCCGACGCTCTGCATTCTTGTTTCGCAGGAGCTCGGCCTTTGCTTGTTCCTTCAAACTTGACCATCGGAGAACTTCATGCAGTGGGTCGATTTCCAAGCAATTCTTGAATCAAGATACAACATGCAAGTCACCAAGAAGAGGGCCCTACAACATGCAAGCCACCCCAACAGTGTGCTGGGTCGACTTTTGGCTTAAAAACACACATATGTGTGTATAAATATAAATATTTATGTATATAGTATATATATATGTACATATGTGCACCATTGTGCACCTATAATCGTGTATATATGTATACAGCAACCGAGTACTCTCTCCCTCCTCCTGTCCTTGCTGCAGAAGTGGCAGAATCGGCACGCGTCTCCATCCCGGCAGCCTGGTCTCCGGCATTTTCGATGACCGGCATGACCGACGGGGCAACCCGGGAGCAAAATCAGTTGAACACATCCTTCTTGTTGCAGTGGATGCCAACACATGGTGCGTAAAGGATATGGTTTTTAAAGTGGTTTGTACAGGATAAACAAAAAATAAACAGTTGCGGGATGTTGCAGGTTGGCAGGTCGGCATCAGCCTCGTTTACCACGTGTCCATTGCATGTCTGATGTATCGTGACAGCTGAATCAACTCGGCAGGTGAAAACGTTGCCCAAACAGCGATTGTTCTTGGAACAGCTCAGACCTGCTCAAATGACACATCGCACTTGTTGTTGCTTCAGTTTGCTGACCAGAGTTCCTTAGTTATACATATATAGTTAATACATAATGTGTTATAATGCATGCTTGTGTTAGACTATGTTAGACTGCCAGAGGAAGGCAGGAATACATGCGACTTCTCTGAAAATTGAACATATCAGGAATTGCCGGGGTTGTTTTTCGGGGCTCCACGACCAAAGCCCAGCCCAGCGGGCCCGGCCTCCTTGCTTCAAGTGAAAGAAACGACATGATCGACAAGTACCCTGTGCATGAGCGGTCCAAGCAGCAGCCAGGCCAAGGCCTTCCTTGCGCTCCTTCCGATCATTCTCAGAAGCTTTCCTCAGCCGAACCGCTTTGAACTTGAGACAACTTTCTCCTAGATAATTACTATCCAGTTGCCAGGAAGAGGGTCCTTGTATGTCTTTGTCATGTGTATATATATATATATCCTGTACATAATAAGTATAATGGCATGGTTGAATAATTGGTAGGTTTTTTCTGCAAGATTCATTTCCAACCTCCCGCCATCTCCCATCATTCTAGTCAAGTTTCTCATCCTCGCTCGACACTGCAGGAAGGCAAGGCTGATATCGAAATTCCGAATCAGAAGATTTGGAATCCGATGACTTACCTCAAGGCGCTGAGCTGCAGAAGCCGGCATTTGTCTGCGATTCTGGCCTGGTGGATTCCTCTCAGCCCTTTCTGTTTTCTTTCAGGGTGCTTACAGTGTTTCTTATTTCAAGGATTCTCCCCGGTTGTGCTTTGGCTGTATTCCGGTGAGCGGGTCATGATGATGAAAGTTGCTATATAATATTTACTATTAATTACAGTACTCTTCCAGTGAGAAGTGGCCGCTGAACGGCAAATTGAGGAACGGAGAGGCATCCCATTAAAACATACGTATCAGAAAAACAACAAATTAACAAAACCCCATCAAAGGCGGGCCCATCAATGACCGTGAACTCCATTAGTGTCTTTCATCAAAATTTAAGTTTCCCAAAACATCTAGGAATCAAGTCATTAGAGTGAGCTATCCTGCATCCAGTTACTAGAAGCTTAAGTAGTAAGCAGGTGCCCACTTATTTAAGTAAGGATGGCCCAAAGAAGAGCACGCGTTGCCCATGTTTCTCCAAGTCTCTGGACTCAGCATGGCGAGTTCCACTACTCGAACCATCGGCTTTGGTCGCTGTACTGCCAGTCATTGAAGGCCAGCTGTCTGGCCTGTCTGGCTTTGTCCGTGCGTCAAGAGTCTCCAGAACAAAATGAAGAAAGTTCAGTTGATGGCAATGCAACATGACACGGGACAGGGTTCCTGAGTGACTCTTTGAGGGAGCCGATTCAGATTCGGCTCTGGACTGTAGCGGTGCAACATGCCAAATCCATAATAGACTTCACAACCAACACATTGTTGATGCCACGATTCATACAACACCAAAGTCGTTGACTCTTGTTGCCACCATTCCAAACTGTTGTGTGGCAGTTTGGGGATGAGACACCATTCCAAGGCTGTATCACAGAAAACCCTGCGAGATGTCTCTCATGTGGCCTTCAAAGGTCCACAAGGCTATCTTCAAGTCCATCGAAACGACTATCAGAATTGTGCGCAACGCATGGCTGGTCATAGCATATCATAGCTATTTCGTTCTCGGTAGATATGTTTTGTTTCAGACCCGACGCGTAAGCATTTCGAATGCTTAACCCCTCATACCCCTCTCACTTCTGTTTGAACATCCAACACATCTGCACTTTGGAGTAAACTTGAACAAACACTCAGAGCATGTAAGCGGATATAAGATGATGTAAGTGGTGCACAACCATCATCCACTACTACAACACCAATTCTATTAAAGTCTTGCACGAGAGAAGAATATAGTAATCATCCTGTCATCCTGTGATTATGGAATCACTCTCCAGCTGCCGAAAACCAATCCATACCAATCCCATTTCTGTCTCCTCTCATCGGAGTGGCCCTTCGTTGGAACAGTGCACCATTTCATCCGGCTCCCGGCGATCAGATTCAGCATCCTCGTCCCAACACGTGCTGAACACACGAAAGGATTCAGCTCAAAACGTTGTGATGAGGTGATGTTTCTCAAAACTCCACCGTATCATGCGACTCACATCGACATGACTCCGCAGTTTCAACCAGGCTTGAGCTGCAAGAAACAGCCTGCAAATCGATTTAGAACACAAGAGCCTACACAAATGGCAAGTGTGGCAGGTGCGGATCTACGAAAGGCATACTTGTATTGGAATCATGCTGTATGGAGTCTTCACAGTCCAGCCCAAACATCTACCTAGAGGACGAGTCCAAGTTTCCTCCACATTATGATCGACACCCCGGTCTGCGACATGTCTCCACCACGAAGCTTCAAAGGTCTTGTGGGAAGTCGATGATCCAATGAGGATTTTTTGCCGGAAGCAATCTCCAACACAATGCCACTCTTATGAATAAAAACAGGTATAAATATGTTGCTTACAGTGCACACGATTTTCAGGAACTAGAAACACATCTTAAGATTCGCTAAGTCCGCATGGCACGCAATCACCCTCTGTCAAAGCACACACGTCACATGCTATTGTTCGTGGCCAAGGCTCTGGAGAGTCTGAGCCAGAGCTGGAGGCCAGCTTTAGAGCTCCATGAAACTCCAACTGCACACGACTCTGGGTGTCCTCTGAAGCCTCCGACGACGACGTCGGGGGAGGCAAATCCGCGAGTCTCGAAATTGGATGCTCCTGACCGGGCAGTCGGTCCAACAGCGTCACAGGTAAGAGTCGCAACCCATCATCTCCCACATACACGACATGTTTGTATTGCTCCATGGCTGGCTCAAATCGGATTTGAGCCTCAATGGCCATATGGACAGCATTGGACAGCCATGAACCAACATTCTGCGGAGATTGACCGAAGAAAAGAAGAAAACACAAGGCTGACAAAGGTCCGACAGACCTGTAAGATGCCCATAGCTGCCAGAAGGAAGATTGAGGATCCAGATTGTCAGGGAATGTCAGGGAACTTGAAATGTCCAGAACCTAGAGAAATTTGTTGCCTGACATCCCGCGTTCTTCGCGGCCATCCCGGCTTGGGCGGGGCACAACCCCAAGATCCAGCCAGAGTGCTTGAGCTGGAAATCAGACTCAGATAGATTCAAGACATCCTAGAGGGCCAACCCAACGAGACTGCATGGTGTCCAATTAGTTCCTTAAGCACTCTGTCATGGATCGGCTACCCAGTGCCTACTGGATATGCTGGATCTACCTCTCAATCTGCAAATGCTCGGGCACCTTCCTGCACGAAAAGGATCAGTGGGCACTCGATAACAGCAATTGAGAACTAAGAAACACTTCGCCTCAAACGGGAGAGGAGGTGCGGCTGCATAGCAGTTCGTTCCGTCGCCATCTCCACGCGATACCTGGCGTCTCGAAATCCAATGGCTGAGTGAAACTGATCCTGAAGGATGCACAAACTCTCACTGCAGGCATAGAGCCCAAATAGCCGGTGTAAAGGGAAAAACTCATAGTGCCTGAGGAAGAAGCCCAGTGTCTAAGAGCTTTCGTTGTCAATAAGCGGTGCCAAGGGCATTGTTCACTGACCCTGCCAAGGATGATATCATGTCATGCCAGGGATGACATCTGTCAGGGCAGGGACGATATCCGCCCCTATGGTGCCCGACACATGATGCATGTAATTACCACTGCCTTGTGGTGGTGACATGGCGTCACGCCAGGGACGGCATCATGTCATGCCAGGGATCAAATCATATCACGCCAGGGACCAGCACCAGCACCAGTACGCCCACACAAAACGCCGATCCAGCAGCATCAGCAGCAGCAGCAACACCCGCACCCGCACCCGCACCCGCACCCGCACCAGCACGCCCCAAGCAAACGCCGATCCAGCACCAGCACCCGCGCCAGCACCCAGCACCAGCACCGGCACCAGCATGCCCAAACAAAACGCAAATCCAGCACCAGCACAGGCAAAACGAAACGCCGATCCAAAGCCACACCATTGAGAAGTAAGAACATATTTTATATGATATATATATATATGTATATATACTGTCTTGTGTGTGTACTTGTGTGTATAAAATTGCCGACAAAGATTGGAATGATGACCTTTCACCTCCTTTTTCTCTAGTGCTTGGTTCGGATCCTCGCCAACAATGCTCTTGAAATGATTGAGCCACACTTGCTAACTGTGAAAACTTCAAGTTCTCAGGGCTGGTTACACACTGGCATGGGTAGGTCAAATTGCTGCAAGCTCCAAACCCACTCCCTGAAGAAAAAAACTAGCGAACATGTCATTCTAAATGCATGCCAAATTGACCGATACCTTATGGCATAGCTCTATGTGTCTTAGTGGCATCTCACATCTTTTGAGTCCAACGTCCTCTGCACAAACGGCTCACTCCAGGCGCACTCCATGCTCAAGGGCTCGCTCGACGGCCGCAGCTCGCAAATCCGCCGGACCTCCGTGACCTCCGCAGTCGCTCACCGACACAGGTGTTCATTCACCAAACTAATTAGTAGGAATGCCCTTCTTTACTAAGTAGCGATGCCCTAGCTACTAGTAGCGATGCACTTGTGAAAAACCACGGACCAACAAAAATGCAGCTGTTAAATGCCCACAGTAGGAACATAACATTGCCCATCAATGTCTGCTGAAGCCCGTTGCGTGGTCGGGAATAGCACAGCACAAAGACATGGGTTATATAGTTCTCTTGAAAGCAAACAGTAAACAACAAATCAATCGACAAGTTCCCCAAAAAATATTCCTGTCAGGTGTATCCGACAATGATTTGGCCACCTCACAGGTGTCTAACATGTTGCAGCCAAATCCTTAGTGACGACTTTCAAAATGAGAGCCCCTGCATAGGGCCGTGTGGCATTTTGAGCCCGTGTGATGCCTCAGGCACACTCAAAGAATGCACTCTTGAAGCGAAGTTCATGATGACGTCAGCAAACACCCCCTACTTGATCAATGAACCAACATGGTTGTAGTGGACCCTGATAAGTTCACAACTGCTCAACAGCGTCGCTCTCAGCCACTCACAGGCTGCTTCCCTGGGCCCTCCAGCCATTGTATCTCGTCCATACATCAAAAGAGTCCTGGACAAGGAGGTATACTCAACACTGTCAACACACTCAGGACTCTGAAGTGGTCATGATGATCTTCACATTTGGCCGCCTTAGAAGCATGGCTGGAATGGCCACGGGAACACCCCAAACCAAAGAAACATCAAATGTTGGCATTTGGTGGTGTTCACCTCTCGCTTTGACAAAGCCTATTCGGTCCTGCGTGTAGGTCCCCTCATTCACCTCTGACAGGCCATTAGAGGAGGTGCCTAGCTTGAACGAAAGATCGGTCAGTCCACCACAAAAAGAATCAACAACTACCTAATTAGTATCATGATGTATCATCATACGTATCATCTATGTTGCTCCTGCGGAAGGACGTGCAACTGTGCTGCATCGAACACTTTCTTGGAATACCAAGGTCGTGTGTCTTGGAAGGGGTTCACACACCAAAACCATCATATGTTCCCATGCCGCACCACCCCACTACTGAGGCCAAACCAAAGATAGCACTGTCTGTCCAGTCTGTCCACTGAGTTTCTGTCTCGACCGCGTCCAGTGAGGGTCCCTCTGCCTCTCCAGCCGCGATTCTCTGCAAAGCAATCTCCAGAAGGGCTTGACTTGACAACACACCACCATCATCATCATCATCATCACCATTACCATCACCTTCATGCAGCCTTCCTCTGCAGTTCCAATTTGAGCTTGGCACATGTCATCTCCAACTTCCCATGGTCCTCAGCCAGGAAGGCCACAGGCAGCTCCGGTCTAGCGACCACCGATGCCCCAGTCGATAGACCCAACAACACCCCCAAGTTTTGCTGCCCCTTTGGCTACAAGATGTAAAGTTCTTTCGATTCGGAAGAACTTCAATGATTGAAGAAAGTCCTCCTACTTTCGGAGGTGATTTCTAGTCTCAGCAACTTCTCCTACTCCAAGTATGTTGGAGTGGCAAACCTGATCTGAAACGGCCAATTACTGCTGGCTGTTTGTCAGGAAGTCGAGCCAGCGGCACTCTCTGGCCACCAATCTGTCTGCACAAACCAAGGTTGCCTTGAAAGCAGGACGATCACGTGCCGCTTCCCACCATCTCTGCAAGCGCTCAAAGTCTTTGTCCTTGGGCATCTCAAGGTCTCGGTAGTGATGACCAATCCAAAGAAATCGCTGCCAAAAGGGAAAAAGGGCGATGTCCACCATCGAGATCTCACTTCCGAGAAAATACGGTCCATCCTTGCTCATTGCTCTGGCAAAGGTTCGACATTCCTCGAAAAAGACTTCTTTTGCTTTCAACTGGGCCGCTGGATCTTTCTCCAGCCAGTGCACGTAGAAATATTTGCAAATTTTATCAGTCACAAAGTCAGACCAAATGCGCACGTGAGCTCGCTTCACTGGTTCGCGAGGCAGAAAGTAGGGAGGATGATCGAAGCGCTCGTCGATGTATTGGACCACATGGAGCGACTCCCAGACCTTGTCACCGTTGCAGTCCACAGAGGGCACCAAGCCGTTAGGGCTGCTGGCGATGAAATCTGGGTACATGGCCTTCTTGACTTCCAGTGGGAGCGGCTTCTTCGTGTAGCCTCCTGGAAATCGAGGATCCACCTCATATGGGTTGATTTCCACGTAGGAGTACTCCAGTTGCTTTTCTTCCACTGCAATCCAGGCTCTTTGCGCAAACGCGCAAAACCAGGACGTGTAAAGCTTCAACGGTAAATCCTTGGGGCCTGCCAAACGCTTGGCAATGGTCTTCTCGCCGTGGGTTTCTACCCAGCTTGGATCCCAAAGTGCATCATGGCTGTTTTGTGCAGCCTTGACGTTCTCCGCAAAAAGACTGAATCCTTGAAAGGACAAACCGACAGCTCCCAGCGCCACTGGCGCCACACTTTTAGCCCTGTGGAAAGCTGCACGCATCAGCTTGGCTCTTCGCATGGACAAGCACCAAAACAAACGAATGGATGCTACTTCTCAAACAGTGATCGCACTGAAAGGATCTTACGGGGATTTATATGGAAGAGATTGAAAGAACTTGGAACAAGAGAAGAACTGAGTGAAACCTAGTGAAACTATTGGCTCACCATGGTGGTGGGCGTTGCATGGTCGGACTTCAGAGCTTCACATGACGAAAGGGTCGCAACTAACTCTCAACTGCCCCTAGTAGCTTCTTGCTCCTAGTAGCGATGCCAGGAGCCCCTAGTAGCGTCCTTGTTCCTAGTAGCACTGTTCTGAGAAATTCAATCAAACCTTTGTCTCTGAAATGTTGCTACAAGTGCTGCAAGGTGCTGCAACATGTCCGGACAATGTGATGATTTTTGTTGCATCAGAATGGTGACACAACAAAATGAGTGCAGCCAAACTGCTCTCCAAAGTCCCGCAAACTAAGCACATCAACACCCCAAATCCAGGCCTATACAAATAAATCATCCAATAGATCAAACTACAACCATCCAACTTTCCCGAATCTGCAGAACAGGGGTACCGAGCTTCTGAGACTGGATCGTTCTCGTCTCAGCTTCTGGCAATGGCTTCTGGAAAGAAGCGAAGGAAGCCAGTCTCCATATGCCTTAGATATGGCAAAAAAACGCCTCCGGAGACATCGCACTGAAGCCCTGCTTAAGAAAAGCTCAGAAAAAAAAAGGTGAAATGAATCTACACCAAAGTGCACCCTTGTTACTACTAGTAAGGCACTTGTTGCTAGAAGCGATGCACTTGTTCCTAGTAGCTTCTTGTTACTACTAGTAAGGCACTTGTTAAACACCAAAGTGCACCCTGGCAGAAAACCTGGACACACAGCTTCTGTTCTTTCTGACTCGCCCCGAAAACCCTTTCGTAGGGAGCAAACTCCCAAAAGGGGTTGCAAGGTTAATCGCTGACTGGATGCCGTGTGGAATCTCCTTCCTTAAATGTTGCTGCCTTGTGAAGGACACAAAACAACAGAAACATGTTCAGGGGCACGAAATAACCTATGTTTGGATTGAGTGTCCTTGTTGTCCAGATTCCGTCGCTCTTGCTCACTTGGCCCAAGGCAAGCCCTCTTTGGTCTCTTTGTGTTTCGCAATGGACCTGCTCAGGGGTACTCGGTATTCCAAGAAATCCATGAATTCTGAAGGACATCTTCAACGACATACTATTAAGTGCAGGAGTTTGCAAACTAAAGTAAAACAACACAACAATATGATATGTATGTATCGCTCATGAGCATCCATTGCAAATCCATGGCCATGTTGGTCGCTTGCTTCTAAATCCTCATCATCTCTCTCATGAATCTAGGATCAATATCATCTCAGTCAATCCAATTCCCAAGTTGTAGGTTGGTGGCCATCGCTAGTAGGTTGGAGGCCATTGCGGTTGGATACCATTTCTCACTCTATACACTCATGTACTGCACCTGTAGGCCCAATGCAACTTTCGGCTGTTGTGCGGGACCGCCTGCGGGCAGGTCAAGAAACTAGTCCACATGCATAGCTTCCCAAAGAACTGCTCGTAGTGGACATCTTGATGATGTCCTAAAAATCGTTGCGACTGGAATGAATCGTTTATGTATGTGTATATATGTATATATGTATTCATTTATGTGATGTATTGATGCTTTTAATTGTATATTGTTCCCTTCAGATTGGTTCTGGCAAAGTTCTGACCCTATTCTCAAACAATTCCAAGGAGCGGACACGGTATCACAGTATCACGTGCCAGCCTGGCCTTCTCAATGACTAGTTTGTGTTCGAAAGGAAACCTGACGTGCCGACAGGTCTTAGGCAAAACCAACATATTACTAGTAGCTTCTTGTTCCTAGTAGTAATGCCAGGAGCTACTAGTAGCTTCTTGCTCCTAGTAGCGATGCCCTTGTTACCAGTAGTTTCTTGTTCATCTTGGCCCAATGGCCCCGCACACAGCTTTTGCGTTTCTCCCATAGCCATCCATCCATATCCATCCACTACACCTGACCAAAAGGAGGTGATAGCATGGTGATAGCATGAATCTTGCATCCGAGTGCCGCACTTGGACAAATGGGGAGCATACTCACCAACTCCGTCACCCTCCCAGGTGCCCTGGCTTGTCCGCACAAGTACATAAATTACTTAGTACAGCAAAGGCGGAGGAGCAAAACACCTTTCTCTGATCTTTTGATCCAGGCTCCTCCATCTCTATTCTTTAATCCAGTGCCAAGCACCAGTCACTACGCTTTGCTGTTTCACATCACAATCCATCCTCATCAACTGCTGGTCAACACTTGTCAGCACACGATCTGATTCAGAGATTTCACATCTCCTTCCCTCCTGGTCTGCTTTTGATACATAATGGAAGCATATAATTAACCCCCACGACAGCTATCAAGAAGTATGCAATCCGATCCTAGGACCTGGAGGACCTGTTTCAGCCGTGCTTCGTTGTCACGGTCTCACCTCCAGGTGCTCCATGATCTCCAGGCTCTTTCTCCTGTGCGGAGCGCGTCCTTTTACACCTTTGTCTTTGGTGGGCCAGGCAGCAAACCGGCGTTGCTGCAATAGGGTTCCGGTGGCCCTCAAAATCTTACATTGTTTGCGGCTGGTGGCCTTCGTGTGGACTGCTTGGTAGAAACTGGCTTGAAAGGGCGAAACAGTTGTCAATCATCTGTTATTCCTCGTCATCTGTCTCCGCATTGAGTATCTTGAGTCTTTTAGGCACCCAACTGACCCCAATTCTGCTACGACCGCGTAGGCTAAGCTATGCCGAAAACCACACCCAAACGCTTGGGTCTCTCGCCCCTCCTGGCGATGCCTTGGAGCAACATGGGGTCGTCCACGATGATATCGCCAGAACTCGGACAAAGCCAACGGACACTGCGGACCTATTGAATTAGGGAGACCGGAGACCGAACGAACCCCTGGAAGAATGAACATAGACCAGTCTACCCATTGGGTTCTCCGGTTCTCCCTATTAAAATACACATATAGATATACAATCGAAAGAAACGCTTGTTTTCAGCTGCACCAGGACAAATTCTTGACTGTTAAGACTGTATCGTCTACTGAGTCTACTGTAAATATGCATGTGTATGTGCTCATGGCCACCAATGCGTCTCTATAAAAGTGAAAACAAATGAAAACATCAACTAAGTGTCAGAACCGTGTACAACCACAAAACCACAATTGGCATGCGATACACTAGAAAGCCGTTCGCTCGAACAATTCACACAATTGAAGGAGCAAAGCTCTATATATAATAAGCTACTAGGAACAAGTGCATCGCTACTAGGAGCAAGGGCCTTACTAGTAGTAACAAGAAGCTATTAGAAACAATAAGCTAGTAGAAACAAGTGCATCGCTACTAGGAGCAAGGGCCTTACTAGTAGTAACAAGAAGCTATTAGAAAGAATATAGTAATTTTTGGGGAGCCCGACATGCCTGACATGGGGCTCCCACCGTGTTGAGATGGAATCTGGGTTCCCGACATCATCGCGGCCAAGCTTCGCTGCTTCAGGGTGCAATACAGTAGTACATTTATGAAATCTGAGAAGAAGTATCGTGTCAGTGCTGCTTTCAATCGTGTCTAACGAAGGCTGAACATCCTAGTGAATTAGTGAGATCCTAATCTTCCAAGTCTATGCAGCAATCGCAATGCAACGGAGGAATTCAAGCTGTGAGCCAGAGTCCGGCAGAGGCATAGAAGCTCAGCAAATTCTACAAACCTCAATTCTGGACACTGTGTGGACTGTGGTGCATTGTCATGGATCCCTAGATTGGTTCACTTTGCCCACTTCGGCCACCCAACTTGACCTCACCCAACAAATTTCCATGGGATGCAATTTTGCTCTGGCCGTTCACCGCGAGTCATTGAGGAAGTTGAGAGAACCTGCCGACAACACTCACTGGTTAGGCATGCGGACTGACTTGGCTTCAAAGATTGAATCACACACGACTTCCGATAGCGTCTGGGGTCTTGAAAGCCATTCATCAGGCAAACTAATAATAATACTGTAAGTGGTATTTTGTACGTTGGGTTGTCTCAGGTCTACGGAAACCACATGAGGCCAGCAGTTTCTCAATACATGCCAAATTCACCACCATCACTCGCAAATCTGCGACTTGCCATCGCACCTCACACAACTGAGGACCAAGGAGATTGGCCATGAAATCGAATCAAAGGCTTCAACTTTAGTGGAGTAAACCACTTGATGCAAGTCAAAACTCTGACATTCACCAATGACATCATAAATGTATATAACCAGTGCAGAAAGCACCCACTTTGGGATCAGAAGGCAAGCACGCTCCGACCATGGGAAGGCACCAAAAAGTAATCCCTTCTGCAATTTCCATGTTTGGTACAACTCCTAGAATGCATGCATTTACTGTATATGTTAAACAATAGCTTGTATCTTTGTAAGGTCCGAACTTCTTTCTCAGGTAGCTTCGTGTGGCTTCATCCAAGCCGGGCACGGCATTCTCGGCCTGGCAAGGTTCTTCAACGAAGAGCTTCAAACAGGACGGATGCAGAAGCGAGACATGACTCACATGAATCAGCGCAGCTGCACTGGCGATTGCAAATAAGACACAAGCTAAACTTGGAATATGACAAAAGTCAAAATGAAGCCCTTCAACAGGTGGAATATGGAAGAACTTCTCCAAATTTCCCTCGATAATCACAGGAACACTTCTTATTTGAGTCCCAAGCCAAGCCAGGTCTGCTGCGATTAAGACCTAATCACATCCGCCCCAACCGCTGAGTGGTCTCTCCCAGGCCAGGCCCCAAGGTCATCGTCCCGTGCAAAGAGGTTCATGAGGCCTTGGGCCTACAGGGTTCGCAAAGGAAACCAAACCCACTGGATCACAGAGGAAATCTCAGAATCTGGTCATCTCAAACATCAATTCAAACATTGCATTATATTGTATTTATGTCAATTTACGTGTTTTTCGTCAGTATTACAGCAATTGTACATGTTGACGAGACAAACTGCTTCGAGAATCTCTGCAAGCGATTGTAGAACCGCCGACCAGTTCGCCAGTACTCCTTAAAGGGTCTTCCACGAAAGCAAAGGATCTATGATCTCCTTGTTCTTTGTCTTGTTCCCGTGTGCCAGGAAGGATGTCACACTTTTCTTGAATCTTTGGGTGCATTACAACCAAACAACTGACTGTAGCAGTGGATTGGGTGTGATAGTCGATTTGCTGATATTTGCTGATACTTCAACTGGTAGTCAAAGAAATTAACATGAAATCTGACACTACTAGTAGCTAGAAGCTTCTAGTCCTCCCTCAAGCACTTTGCATTGGTGGGCCCATTCTCACGTCCAGCTGCGCATGAGGGCTCGGTCGCCCGTCGCGTCACACGGCCTCGCCCGGTGTTGGCTCCTGGAACCGCCCGTAGTGGAGGTGTTTCAACAGCGCATCATTTAAACTATATAGTAGCGTCCTTGTTCCTGGATGTTCCTAGTAGTAAGAATGCTCCTAGTAGCGATGTCAGGAGCCCCTAGTAGCGTCCTTGCTCCTAGTAGTGATGCCCTTTGCTCCTAGTAGCATCATCTAAAGCCCGGCAAAATACCCAGTGATCACAGGTTTCATAGGTTTCCTGTTGCCGGCTTGGTAGTCTACGTCTCTGAGCTGTTCCTCGATATGTCTATGTATTGATAACACGTTCGCCTTCTTGCTGCTAATTCATGGATGCGCCTGCAATGCCTCACCAAATGCTTCCGGCTACCCACATAGATCTTTTGTTGTGGTGTGTCCCGCTTCGACTAGTCGCTACCATCATTTATCTCCCGCATCCGACCGCAAAAACTCAAAAATAGAGAAGATTGCTTTGCAAATAACAACAATAACAGCGAATCAAACACAAACAAATCAAACGTTAGACATAAACAGGCAACATCAGGCAACTCTCTGCCGCACCAGAGCTGCACCTGCCCCGGCCGCAGCGCATCATAGAGCGCAGGTCCGAAGTTATCAAAGGGAGACCTGATCTCCAGCTGAGCTTTCCACCGGGTGCCTCATTTTGTAATTCCGTTGTCTAAAAGGAATCAAACAGGATGAAGGGATCATGCCGCATAAATCTCCATGTGCAAGACCTTTGTTTTTAGGTGGGTAGACTGTGAAGAAGGGGTCAGGCTACAATGGAGGGGCTTGTCAACTACCTGTATAAAACATGAGGATACATGAGGCATCCTTTTCATCCGGCTCTATGTGTTGCTGTTTGGTGGTGCACAACTGCCCAGCAAAAGGGGAGGTCAAAGCAGCCCCATCCACTCTCAATGTCCAACAACCCCCTCCAAGCCAACCTAAGGGTAGTTTGGCCTGACTCTTGATGAGCATGCGTTGTGCCGTCTCAAGGCCAGTTTGGGAGGAAATCTGGTGTTTGGGGCACCACCTTGATCATCAACTATGCCGCATGAATGGTTGGTACAGCCATCAATGTGGTTGTCAAAACTCACAATGTAGACCAGTGCGAACCGTCCACTCACTACTTCCCAATTCTCTATTCTTGTTCCAAATGCATCCGCATGGATTCACAAATAAAAATCCGGTAGAACCACCTGGTCTTGCTCATGTTCCACACCTCATGATGTTGAAGGTTTCTGGCTTAAAGATAGGTGTGACCGCACCAAGTGATTGTTCCCCTTACCCAGCCTTCTCTGACCAATTTGGTCTGACTCAGCCTTTCTTATTGTTCTCCCTCTCTCTCACTACTTTATCTCTTCATGTTTTTGTCTCTTTCTCTCTCGGTCAGTCTCACCGGCCGCTCCCTCCCATCTCTCGGCCGCGCCACTCACCGAAGAAAAGCGCCCTTTGGCGGTTTCGCACGACGGGCACCAAATCCCAGCCAAGGGCCTGGCGGATCTCCTGCGAAAGAAACGCATGAACGAAGTGTCCAAGGGATTCTTCGGGTGGGTGGGGTAGGTGAGGTATTTCATGTTACAGATTACCCAGAAATACTACAAGTTTGTGACACCGAAAGCTTGTTTTTACTTGGCCATTATATAATTATATAACGACGATATTGGCCATGCAGTACCATGCAGCAGTTTGCAAACTTCTTGTTGAAATAATAAGGCTCTTCACCAGTCCAATTAGAAGGCTGCTTCGTCCAACTGCCCACCATGACGCTGAACAAGCTGATCACTGCTCCCCAACACCCGTAGACCAGTCTGATCTACGTGCTCAGGTTAAAACCCAGTGTACAGAAATCTTCTCCAGTTTCATATCGCCTGTTTTTCTTTGTATGACAAACGCTTTAAAATACGTAGTAATTTCTAAATTTTCTGGCTAGGTTTGTTGGGAGAAACAACACACACGTTGATTGGTGGATCGTGACTCACCCAAGCCTGTCAGCATGTCATCCTTACTTGATGATTGAACCATGCTCACCCGGTTTTGCTGTTGCCGCATTCTGGTTGACCAAATGCTGATGCTGTTTCAGCAATCAACTGCAATGCCAAACTGCGCCAATACTCTATGGCACTCTGCAAATGGCAAGAAAGTGGAACAGGACTCACAAATGTATCAGCAAACATATTGTTGTCGTGTTCTTCTACGCAAACCTCTGCAGAATAAAACGGCTAGCCGGCCTACCAACTTGCCCATCTACCGGTATTTTGTGCCTTGATGTGCCTTGATGTGCCTACTTTAGTGGACCAAAGATTCAACCAAAATGGCAACCAGCAATATGCAGCACGTCGATGCCCCATCCCTTTGGCGCCTTTGGCCGACACTTCTCTGAAGACTCCCTCGCTCACTCGTTGGGGTTCGGGTTGGACCAAACTTCAAAGCAAGACTCTTGGTGCTCATGTAAGCACCAAACGAAGGGATGGTTGCGGGTCCAAAAGGGATATGGCATTGACCTCAGTAACCAACTGCCAAAACTCGCTAGGATGTAAAATCATCTTGATTGCAAAGGATTAACAAAAGATTCTTAAAGTACATGAGTACATGAGCTCTAAGAATCTTTGGATGGAAGTTGGAAGGGCACAGTCCCGAAAAGCCAACAAAAAAACTGTTACAAAATCAAGAGCCTTCAACTTGGAATAGATGGAGGTAGAAACAAGTTCAAAAATTGTCTAAAGAGTGTCTGACGAAATGACTCCAGGCTCCAGGTTTTGCCAAGACACATGTTGATCCAATTCTTGGTGTCTTCACTTTCCACAATAGCGACCTTCTGATCAGTTGTTAGGCACGCCAACCAGGTGGTGTATTTGCCTCGACTATCGCTAATACGCAGCGTCTTCTTGACGCTTTCCAGCGCAGCTTCCATGCCTAGGAATGCGGTGATAAACCGCCGAGCCGTGGGCCCTCCGGAAGCATGGATAAAGGTTTTAAAGGACTTACAAATACAAAACCCTAAAACCAAACCTTTCGAAAGCAAGCGTGTATGGGTCAAATCCTACCCTCATGAGAAAGGACGATCTCAGTACGACCAATCTGTGCACCAGTTTTCGGAGGACGATCCATGCGGGTTTGACCCATACAATCATCTCCTAGCAACGCATATGCCCCTGTCGCCCCGCAGCTCGAATGGGCTTGCAACCACCTAGCACAAGGCCATGGCCAAGGCTTTTCACGTTGTAAAGCAACTGGCGGAAGCTCACCTGACATGCGGAAGCTACAGTAAGGCACTTGTTACTAGTAGCGAGGCACTTGTTCCTTGCAATATTAAAGGAAGGCGGACTTGTTCTAAGCTCAAACGGCTTGTGAAGTCTTGAGGGTTGATAAAGCAGTTGATGGCACATGTTTTGCCTACCAGTAGTTACCAATTAAGGCAAGACGCTGGAGTTAGAAATAGTCGGATACAACTATACAAGTGATTACAAGTGGATACAAGTGGTATACGTCACTGGACATACCCCGTGCTTATTAAAACCAGCTGGTACAGGAATGCTATCTTCCATGCCTGACCCATGCTGGGCCCGGCTGCCAACGAGCCCGCCAGGACTTGAGCATCGATGCCCAAGACAGAGCTACTACCTTGCTGCCAAAGGGTGCTGCTGAGTTGAGTCATGTTCGTCCCCCTGTCCGATGCGGGTCCAAAACACAATATACCAACAATCTACCGATTCTTGTTTGAGTTGAAGGCATCCAATTAGTTTCTTACTTGCCTGAAGACACATGTAGCACTGCCTTCGCTTGTTTGCAATACTCCGGAACAACTGAACAACTGGACCAGATGCTCCAAATGTCAAGGAGGATGCCTTAGCCTCAAGGGGTATCTTGACAAACTACAAATCGCTGCAGTACAAGGCACTAGGATCTGTCAAGCAAACCTCAGCAAACGCTTTGTCATCCATCCAGGGCGTATGTTTCACTCTCACGAGTCTCACACTACTGTAGTGTGAACATAGAGTTTGAAGTGGATTTAAGAATTCCAAAAAACGAGGGCGAACACATCCCTCATAGTCAGTCATCCTCAATGCTTGATAGCATCTTGGGGCAAGCTGGGCCAGCACATTGCATACGCTTTCAATAATGATAAAGGCCCCCGGTAAATTCTGGTAAATGCAAGAACCAACATCTAAAGGATGTGTTCTGAGAAAGATCTAAAGAAAGGTCCATGATCTGGCGGCCCTGGCGTCTCAGTCCAGCATCTTCCAGGCCCAAGCGACAAAGGAGTCTCTGGTTTGATCCCTAAGACGTTGTTCCCGGAGGCGCTGCTCTTCAGATTCGAAGAGGTCTGCATGGAAGGCCTCCCCACTGGGACCAACGTGTGAGTGGAAGTGTTATGTTGAACACTTGTTGGACCAACGGGTGATCTCTTCCTGAAGGGTCCAGAGGGTCAGTCACCTCACAGTTCTGAAGCATCTAGGATCTCAACATGTTTCTGGTATCAACGTCAAAGGCTGAATGTGTAATTAAGAACAAGTTTGCTATAGAGTTAATTGAAAAACTGATGCAAAATCTCAAAGATTGTTTGAAGAAGGTCTGCCGTACTCTGCCGTGTTAGATTCTACTCTATGCTTAAGACAAGCGACTCTGCAGCATTCCCGCTTGAGTCGAGAGAGAGAGAGAGAAGGGGAGGGATTCGAAGCATCACCAAACATACACACCAGTCTAAGTCTACTGTATCAAAACATATCAAGTGTAGATCTAATGCGGCCACACAGGATCTACAAGTCTTGGTAGAATCGTGTGACAAAAGCCTGACAAATCGAAGATTCTTCCGGCCTCCTGCAAACTTTGAGTGCCACTGTAGAAGCTTGGCACCTAAGCTCTTCAGCAACAATGATGCTCTTGAGCAAAATCCATCCATTCAAAGTTGTCCAGCTGAAAATATTGATGCACATCATATATTTTGCTGGCGGCTTCGCGTATCTTGGTTGACTGCTGTAAAATGTTGAACACCAAGGCGGTCTGGGTAACAACTAAAATTTACTCTTCTGTTTTCTGAGGTCTTTCCCTACGGGCAATGGCCCAGACGTTCGACCCAAGTATAGTGGAGACAAGTTAAAGAGCTGCAGGCAGCAGATTTTTTTCTCAGCACCTGCATGATCCCATTACAAACAAGGGGTCAATTTGCGGACCGGTGTGAAAACCAGGGATGCTGCCGAAAACAGGGCCTTGGCGGTTCTTTTCTTGCATGCTAAGGCACGAATTCTGGGCAGCCACTCACTGGTGCGAAGGGCATCTCGTGTTGGCCCATCGAAAGCCTGGGAACGAGGGTCAATCGATTGTAACTAGGCTAACCCTGTTCGATTGTCTTCTATGGCAGTGGGCAACTAGAGGCAATCAAAGGTCATCTTGGGTTCAAATGTGGATTGTCATAGAAGCGTTGTTCGCATCCAAGCCAAGCCACATCTGCGAGTCTGCGTTGATCTCCTTGCATGGGAGGGCTCCCTTTAGCGCTTGCAAAAGGAAGAAATCGAAACCTGTGTATCCTCTCCATGAACCATGACAGAACAAATCAACTATATAAGCTCATTGAGACCGAATCTGCACTTCCTTGGTCTATGTGGTTGACTCTGATGTATATACAAGCCAACCCCGGGAGGTTGCTGTAAGCAAACACAGAATATGCTGTAACATGCTGTAACCGAAAACCTGAACATCTTTAGATCAGCGACAAAAGTTCTGTGGACGGCGGACTCATGAAGAATCGCGGCTCACATGTTCGCATCTGAAGCGCAGCTCAAAGTCTGCTGAAGGTTTCGGAGGTATGAAATGATTCGACCGAAAACTTCGAAGGTATTGGACCGTCTGGATTTCAAGGCGACCAACACCCGTGCCACTCCTGCGCGCCCTGAGCCAAGACTTGTGCCTCGTGTCGCTCCATTGCCTGCACGGCATGGTCAGTTGCCAAGTGAGCTGACCACATCACCTCACATTCAGATTGATTTGTAATAGTGCCTCCAGTTCTGGTTTAGCCCTCATCTCATCACAATCACCACAAGGATGCAAGTTTAAGAATGGTTTGGCTTGGTGGCGAGTTATATATGTTTCAACAGTTCATGTGACGAGCTATCAATGTATTGCATTCATGGTCTACACACATCAACCACAATTGATTGTCGAAGGAGTCCAAGGAGTTTTGGATAGTTTTGGTCCTTCAAAGGCAGTTCCTTGTCGAACATTTCACGAGAAGAAACATCAGTGCCTGGGACATCTCCTTGTCGGAAATCGCTCCACGGACTCCGGGCGTCTGAGGAACATCCTTCCATGCCTGGCAGAGCCAGATTTGGCTTTCAGCAAAGGGGAGTGGAAGGATCTGGAAGATGGCTTTGGAGCTTAGACCAATGACATGCCTTAAAGTGAAACTGAGCAGTTGGCAGTCCGCGCTCTTTCCAAAACCAGGACATACAAGCATAGGAACGGAATGGAACGGATAATCTATCAGTTCTCCACACCTCCTCTGTCAGCTTCCTTCCAGTCACAGAATCTTCCTTAAAAAACCCGTGTTGGACAAGTGACATCTACTCGGACAAGTGGAGAATCGAAAGAACTGTGCAGCCTCCAAGCTCTACATGGCATGAATGTCTTCCAACAAATCTGTCCAGCAGGGACATGATCTTACAAACTAGAAACAAACAGCGTTCCAGCATCTTAAGCAGTTTGAAAGACAAAGCAGGGCAACAAACTGCTGGCATTTATATAGTGATGGTCTTCGCCTCTCAAACCAATGTCGACAAAATCAGCACATGTTCCACTTTCGAGATATCAACGTAGAGATATAACTAACTATCAAAATCCAGCAGGATAGAAGGTTTATCATCATATCCGACGTCTCCCACAAACTTGGTCTCTCCATTCACAAATTTTGTATACTTGTTTCCGTCTCTCCATTTGATCTACAAGAGTCCAGCAGCTGCATCTGTGCAAGCAGCCGCTGCGGCAGGGAGACCTCCGGGGCCCAGTCGCTGCTTTGCACTTCAGGTGCCACGTCTTCGGCCACGAAGAGCAACTCAGCGCCCTGCTTACCTTCGACGCGAGGTCTGGCGGGCGCTGGGCAGGTTCGTTGTGGACAAACACGGCGTCTCTGATGGGCATGCGAAAACCGAAGGTCATAGAACATGCTTGTGTGGATCATGACATGAGTATGTCCAGAACTGCAAGAGAAAAACCAGTGGAGTCGAGTTGCTGTGTCATGTATGGGCAACTGTCCATAGGACCGATCTGAGGAACATTTCTGGGGAAACAGTCATGGACAAGCTTGAGCGGCTCCCAATAGAAGTGGAAAAAAACATTTACAAGAGCAAACTATGGGAACCATGTCATGCCCCGAAGCCCGGTTGAGACTTGATCCATCTTGATCCTGACTTCTAACGCCTGCCATATTGGCTCCTGTAGGAGCTTTTTCAATGATGTTTGTTCATCCCTTTCTGTGTTAGTGATCACAGAACCAAATGGTCAATAGCATGCCTGGTAATACTGTATATTATACAGTAGGCAAAAACCACAATCTGAAGACAACATGTCCCGGGCATGATAATCAAACTCTCCAAACCAGGCATCTGGCATGGGTCATTGCAATAAACAACGAAAGCAACACATTCTTCCAATGAACTATATAATTGTTTTTAACCAGGAAGTCCAGTGGCAGACATCTTGCACAGTCCAGTGACCAGGGCTCATGTGGGTACGGTTCAAAGATGGATGTGAAACCGCCAGTGTATCGTTCAATGCAACCGCAGCACCAGTCAAAACGGCTCTGAGAAAGAAACCCTGTGTATGTGCGTGTGTTGCTGGTTTAGGTGGAGATTGCGCTTTCACGTACCAACTGTACGCCATATGGACTCCATTTGGTGTTCCCATGTCACAAATCTTCATGCCAAGCTACTTGGTACAAAGCGTGGGCAGCAGTGCGACAAATATCGATGCGCCTGCATTGGGAGCCATGTGAGGATTGCCGTGCATTGGCTTGGGAGGAGCCCAGGAGAACACTCCAAAAGCACTCCTTTTTACCTAGGCATCTGGGAAAACCAGATTTTTCAGTGGCTAAAAATGAGACCCTGCGGCGGTAGGCTACTGGGCTTGCCCTGGCCTTGAAGGCCACACCGCTCAAAAACCAATGCTTGTCGTTGTATTACCAGTTCAACCAAAAAGTTTAATACATTTCGGACGACCCGTCAGGAAGCCAATGTCACAACTAAGTTACAACTAAGTTGAGTAAGCTGGTTTGATGCGCAGTGAGTATGGTATGTCCCAAGATGGAAAGCCCCTGAAAAAGAGGCGCGGCAAATGACTGTTTCCTGAACCTGCTGTTGATGCAGAGTTCCTTGCATGCCCCTTCTTGTGAGCTCTATATGTAAATGACCGATTATGCGTGTTCATTGATGTCCTCAGTTAAGGGTATCTCCTTTCCTTCCCTCAAACACCCTTCCCATCTCATCATCTCGTCTCATCTGTTTCTGGTTTCACCATGTTTCACAGTTTCACCCAGGATTCTCTCCTGCCCCGCCTTGCTAGTGGCGCCCTCATCGGCATTCGGTGGTGCCACCGGCCGGGTGTTGAGCACCCGGACCTGGGAGGCCGCAAAGGCCTGGGGCCCAGCCCGGGCGCCGGTGAGGTTCTTCAGCTGGAAGTCAACCACTGCCAACTTGGAAAACCTCGGATAAAAAGATGGGTAGGGTGGGTACGGCTGTTGATGTATCTTGAACAATTTTGCATAGCCATGATTGGAAAATGTTGGAAGCCAAACACCTGGCTTCATAGTGACGGAAACAGAATCTGTGGCTAGAGCTGGACAGAACCATTGCTAGTGGAGTGGGTTGTGCAGCAGTGCATCACTGATCCGCAGGTTCCTAGACCTATATATATATATAGAGATATAGATATAAATGTTGGTTTCTTTCTAAATCCAAGCGACCGGTCTTTGGCAAACTTAAGTCTTGTGAACAACGGATTCTGCATTATACACACAATACGTCCTGGAGGTACTGAGCAATTGGTGTCTCGATCAGGCTTGTCTCTAGAGACAAGGCAGCAGCGGCACAGCAGACGCACAGCAGACGCACAGCAGACGCACACAGCAAAGGCAAACCAAAACGGAATACAGGCACCCAGTCATTGAGAAAGTAAAGAAACCTATAGCTGAGGAAAAACAAGGCAAAAAGGTGTGTAAAGTGCAAAGGTACAATTGTAAAGAAAGACGCGCGCACACACAAAACATAAGAAAAGAAATACACTCGACTGGCAATGGTAAGCGTGACCATGAGTGGAACTGATCAATGTTTCACTTGTAAACCTGAGGTGGGAGGGCTTTCAGGACAGTGAAAGACCTCAATAAAGGTTCCAAGACGTTCCAAGGGTTTCTGAATTTGTCTCGCCAATGTTCAAAAGACCTCTGAGTTGATTTCGAGGAACTGAATGGGCACGGCTTCCACCACGGGCATCGCTTGCCGGCATGTGAAGCTGAAAGCCGCGCGGTAGACCAACGAAGTACCCCAGGGCTGTGCTGGAAGCCCCTGGTCCGAGTGGCAATCCAACAAAAAGCCTTCAATTTAGATCACTACGGTCACCATTGTTTCCATACCATACTCGCAATTCCCTCGTCACTAGCTCAAACAGGCCAAGGACAGCACTGCCCGGCAGAAAATTGATGATTGAAGGGCAGCTTTGCTGCTTGGATGTTCTGCTAGGTGATTAGCACCCATCTTTCAAAAAAAACTGGATTAAGTCAAGGCCGATCCCCATGTTCCAACCCTTCAAGATCTTCAAGCTGCCAAAGCCAAACAGCCGTGTCCGTTCCCGCACCTGCAAGGAGCCACCAAACTCTAATGCTGGGATGCCGGGGATGATCACCTGCGGGACCAATTCAGCCGGGTCTAAAGGCATTAAGATCACAGACTACAGTAACATATACAGTAACAACTACAGTAGCATATATAATATACATTACTGTTGTCTCCACATCCCCATGCAGCCTCAGAAGGTGCCAATGTGAATATTCTTGATGACCAGAGCCAACCTCGGCCTTCCACATACTGATCATACTGGTGTCTTCAGAAATGCCCGGTGCTAACGACAAAGCTGGTGTCTTCAGAAATGACAACATCCTCCTCTCCAAAGCACCTAATTCTCTCTAAGTTCCTTTCCAAAAGGGCATTAAGTTTGCCACCAGGAACAAGGACGCTACTAGGGGCTCCCTGTTTCTTGATGGGCACCGTCACCGGGGAACATCGGAACCGTCGTCTTTTGTTGGTGGGCTGCTCAGGACTGCTCAGGCACCACCTGCCAAAATCGGACAACTGTGTTTACAGTGTTTGGGCGGCTGGAGGTGGTGAATGTCTTCCCCCCCTACCGATTCTTCTGGTCTGTACTACTGTGGATTCTGAGCCCCTCTCGATCATTTGACGTCCCTCGTGATGCTTTAGGTGCGCCTGCAGGTGTTTGAAGCCGCTGAGGCGCGCCTGCGAACAAAACCGCATTGCTTTAAACAGACCTTGATGTTCACAGACAGTCTTCAATCAAACAGTGTTGACGTCAAAGCCTGTCTGTTCACATATATCTCGTTTGAGGGTTCACCGCTCTCCAAGCCTGCTGCCGTACAAACTTCTGGTCCGGCCGCGTGTCCTTCACCAAGCAGACTATCACGCTAGCCTTTTTTGAGGTTCCAGGTCGGCACGAAGCCCTGTGTCAAAACTTTTGCCAAAGACATCATGATACCCTTTTCTACAGTCTCACATAAGACAAGCTCAGCACGCCGTCCTCTAGGACCTCCTGCACTTGCTGGGTGTGCATCTCACAAGCAGCATCCAAGGCAGAAAGCTGAGCATGGCTCAGCAGCGGGATGGCCTTCAAGGCATCCTTGTCTTGGGCATCCACTGCGTAAAGGTTCCCCACATCCTCCCAAGGGCTAGTTGCAGCTAACGTGCCAAAGAGAATTGTCTACTTGCAGGATTCTCGGGAGAAAAGTACTCAGACTTCTTTACTCTGACCCAATCAAGCGCCGAGTGTATCTGAGACCTTGCTTGATTGTCAGCAACATCTAGGTCAAAGCTGCGTGCTTTTCACGCGAAGAGCAAGGTTGGCGGTCTATCAGAACTTTGCGACGCGTTCCGATTCAAGCACTTGAGTTGCTTAGAGCTTCTGGATCACGTCAGTCCTCTTTCAGGGATCCAAGAAAGGTCACGAAACGCCAATCAGGTGTCACCTGCCAGACTGAATGTGAGTGAGGTTGTGTGTGTGAACCAACAAATATAGGACAATATATATATATGTATAGGTAGGTAGTGAATACACACTGTATCAAAATGGTGGTGAGGTTTGACGCACGGTTGGAGTGAATTGCAGCATAGCTTCATCTTTTGAGCAATTGACAAATTGACATTCACCACCCATGACATCCATCACCACCCTTAATGCCGGCTCTTCTGTGCTCTTATTCCATCCGTGCCACAAGATGGAAAAGACAGGAGAAACCATTGCTTTCTGTCCACAGCAAGTAACTTGAGCTCACCACACACACACACAAAGCAAAATGTCACACAGGTAGATGAAATGGTACAGTATTGGAACATCATTGTCCAAACCTTCCTAGAACGTTTGCTATGTAGGGAAGTGAGAAAATCTGGAAGGAACCCCACACAGCAGTGCGCTCTCGAGCCTTCACAGCAGTCAAACGCTTTGCATTGAGCTTGGTGACCTGGGATCTTAGAGTCACGAAAGAATTAACATTCGGATTGATATCATTGATATCATACATATGATCTACTTGGCTGACATGGAGATTTTGCAGGATTTCTAATTTAACTATATATATATACACTGGGGTGCCAAAAGTTGCGCTTCTTGACTTCTAAAACATCACAA